AATTCAAATAGAATTGGTTTCATATGAAAGACATGTAGTTTTGAACATGTAGTTCAAACACTTGAAAGTATAAGTCAATGGTATGTGCAACCAGTTTTCGATATCTTATATGTCTAGCATGACATGAAAACTTGATATGCATCTAAAGTCTATTATATGGCTTATATGACTTAACAATCCCTGAAGGTGCCATTTAGGCTATTCTGCCTTTTTTTAAAACTAGAATATTTAGTTTACTTAAAAATTAAAATTATAATTTTGAATAAGACAAACATATCTTTCTATGGAATACTCCCGTATTTTAGATTGAGATATTCGTATCCAAAATTTATTTCTATTTTTTTCGGGTCCAAGTTTTATCTATATCTATTTACTATATTAAAAACACGAACTCCCTTAGCAAAATTATCGTCCGCTTTTTTTATCCTTAAAAATAAATTTTATACTGGACACAAAATATAATTTAAGTTAATTTTCTAATATTTAGGACTTTAAATCAACTAAAAATTTGACCATTACATCATTGCTTTTGAACTAGTTAAGAAATACTAATAGTACAGGATTTTAAAATTGATTAGAAATTTAGTATTGTTATGAAATATTATTTTGTAGTGGATGTCTATAACTCCTAAAGAAGTTACTCCCACTACTCTTCTCCATTATGTAGATAACTCCCACTACTTCTCACCATTATAGTTGTAACTCCCACACCTCTATAACCTCCCCATGATCTTCCTCCATGATCTCAAATGTTTAATGTCATGTTTATGACATTCTTTTGTATGCCTCTATGTAATCCTATAAATAGAGGATTTTGGCATCACATTGTATACACTTGAATACATAGAAGAAATAAGATTCTCTCCTCTCTTCCTCTCTACATTATTGTCTATTTTATTGTTCTATATTGTTACTTTGAGCTAAGTTTCGTAACACGTTATCAGCACGAATCTCCAACTAAATATGCTCTCATTTTTGTACACCTCCGTAAAGGCATATATTGTGCACTATCCTTATACCACAATTAGTGGCTATCAAACAAAACAAAAATAGAAGTCTGACATTTGATGGAAGCCACTGGAATGGATGCTAATACAAGATATGTTTACATCCTTCTAGTTCATTCATATTTTAGCTTTACTAATCTCAAAATTATTTATTTTTCCATGATATTTCTTCTGCCAAGTGGGATATTACATTTTTTCTTTTTCACATTAGATGATTGTAATATGAATGTTGACTTAAGTTTCTGTACTATTGCAGCCAATCTTTTGATTTGCATGTGTATTATACATGTCCATGGGCAGTCATTTTTTTGGCAATTGATGGAAATGTTATTTAAGGCTCCCCGTGATTAAAGGCTCAAGGGTGATGCATTATAGCCTATTATGCCGAAGGTTAAGGATAAGACGGTAGGTTTTAAGTTCCACCGCACCATGGGGGTAAGACATCGGGTTCGAGTCCTGGTGCACCATAATGATAAGAGTTGACTTTGAGTCCCAACTCATTATTGTCTAACATGCCTTTATATGGGTAAGGCATTGAGTTTGAGCCCTAATACACCATATTGATTATATAATGAAAGAAAAATAATATATCTTTCATGAAAAGGCATGAAATGTCCCACTTGATTTGCTCCATTCTTGAAGAGAATGTGATAGCAGCGCATAATAAGTCTAAATTAAGACAAGTTGTTGACCAATAAACGTGGGCGTTCCAAAGATTAAATAATAATAGTCATCATTATGGTAATTGTAAAATGAGAACAATAAGGGTTCTCAAAATAGTCCTTCAAAATGTGAAGGCAATGTTTATCATCAAATTGGTGTGGAAAAATAACAAAGCACGTCGCTAATTATGATCCATTCCTTGAAGAGAATGTGACTTGTGATAAGCATTGAGAATGCAGACCCATTCATGAAGATGAATGTGGCAATATGTGCTAAAAGTAATGAATAAAGACGTGCAATGCATGATTGAATAAATACTATAACTCACCTCTACGGGAGGTTTGAGAGAAAGAAAGATCATAAACATTACTATGTGGTTACACGAATATGTCATTGGTCGTGTACATGTGGTAAGCCGAAAATATTTTGTCACGCCTTACAAAAAGTTATTAAAGACAAAATTAAAGCAAGAAAAGATTTTGCTTATGATGATTTTGACCATGACAATTATTATGATAAGATAATTTTCTCTGTGGAGGAAAAATTCACCACTTGGATGGTGTTATAAAAGATCTTGTAGTGCAAAATTATTGAGAGCTCCAGAAGAGCGAATTTGTTACTACCCGAATAAATAAAATTATTCATGGCATTGGTGGTAGTAAGTCTCAAAAGAAACTTTTTGAGTTTCAAATGTATTAGCCAAAGTGGTTGGCATATTGAGACTATAAATGAAAGGAAGATTGATTATCTTCATATTACTATAACATACCGGGTAAATATGAAAGGTTACCCGACTTTTCTTCTATTTGTACTACACGAGTATAAGCATGATGATGGAATCACATGCCACAAGTAAACTAGAGGTTTACAAAAATAAATATTAGTTGGTCACAACTGGTTGTCCATCCCGGTTCAATTATGATGCGAAAATTAATAATGAATTCACATTGGCATACATTGAAGAAATAGAAGATTCTTCAAGAATTCTCTTGTGCTGCTTATTCTCATGATATACCAGTTAAGGTTGGGACTGAATCCCTTGATTTCTGGAACGAATAGAAGGTGATATATTTATGGGCTCAGTCACCTGCCATGTGGATTGTTTACTATTATATGATTTTAATAGATGCATCTATTGTATGGTCACATGTGCGTTTGTTATCAACTTGCACTTTGGTTTTTGCAAGGTTGTTTGCTCAAATTATTAGAGCACAGTTCCAGAATATATATTATGATAATTTATCTTCATAATGCTGGTTTAATTCCAAGTTGGTTTAGCAGAAATTGTATGCCTCCAATTATAGCTAAACCATTGGTTATGAGAAAAAACTCCCAAATAGAAATTTGGTATGAGGTGTATTATTTAATATACAACAACACTTGTACGCATCTAGCCAACAAGTTATGATACATTCTCCCCATCACAATTGGTTCATGGTCAGGAACCAAATATTTCCATCTAGAAATATGGATGTACTATATGATTTAATTGTGCTACCACAATGCACAAAGATTGGTCCCCAAAGAAGATTGGGGATATGTGTTGGTGATCCCAACATTAGTGGGAGAAAATGAGCAGCTGGAAAAAGTAATACATGGAATGAATTATTATGAGTATACTTAGATCCTCGTAGAAGAAAATATGAACTTGAAGTTCAAGTGATAATTCATTTGCAAAATATTTTTAGGCACATTGCTGACCCAAACTAAATATCATATTTCAGCTACTAATGCTCCAAATTGAATAAAGTCCATGATGGACATAGTCTATGGAACGCATGAAGCGTAATGGACTAATCGGTTCCAAAGATAAAACTCCTTGAAGAAGGAGAGGAGCAAATGTTCAAGATGGTCATAATAAGGAGGCAAGTGCTATATAAGAGCACCATGACATAACACTTCATAAGACCTCTTGGGAGAGGCTCGGGTACCTGAAAATAATGAGATCTCGATAAGTTATGTCTTTATTGACTGATGATGGATCCGACGTTAAATGATCGTCAACAATGTTGTTGATATAATGTGACGCTCAATACTATTAATGTTGACGAGGATCTTGAGCTCAAATCTGTCATGGAATTTGGACAGATAAATGATTGGCCAAATGAAAAATATGAAGTTTGGACGAATAGTCCCAACAACTCAGAGTATAAAGGCTATATGGAGATATTGAAATATGATTAGTATTATATTGCAAAAGAAATCCTTGATATAAATTTGTTTATTCTAACAAATATTGTCAAGATTTTGTTGTTTATGCAAATGCAGGCATTTATTGAAGTCTGTTCTTCAAACAATCTATTTGTATGTGAGGAATTGTCATATTATCATTTCACAAGATGTGTGACTTTTCTTTGAAGAGAAGATTCCAATAATAATGAAGAAGCTGATGTTTGCTTATCTCAATTGAAAGAAGAATATTGAAGGAGACTGAGTAGATCATATATTTCATCAAAGTTCTTTGTCAGACACGATCTTCAACAGAATGATGAAATAGATGTTCAAGAAATTCGTTCAAGTGATAATGTGGCGGAATAATTCACCAAGGCATTGCCGATCTCAATATTAGAGAAGTTGTTAGACAAGTTTGGAATTCGTCGTCTCCGAGAAATGAAGTGATATTTTCATCAGGGGGAGGCAAATATGTGCTGTACTCTTTTTTCCTTAGCTAAGATTTTATCCCACTGGGTTTTTCTGGCAAGGTTTTTAATGAGGCAGCAAATAATGCGTATTACAAGATATGTGTACTCTTTTTCCTTCACTAAGATTTTTTCCCACAGGATTTTTTCTTAGTAAGGTTTTAACGAGGCACATTATCTATAGACATCCAAGGGGGAGTGTTATGAAATATTATTTTGTAGTGGATATCTATAACTCCTAAAGAAGTTACTCCCACTACTCTTCTCCATTACGTAGATAACTCCCACTACTTCTCACCATTATAGTTGTAACTCACACACCTCCATAACCTCCCCATGATCTTCCTCCATGATCTCAAATGTTTAATGTCATGTTTATGGCATTCTTTTGTATGCCTCTATGTAATCCTATAAATAGAGGGTTTTGGCATCACATTGTATACACTTGAATACATAGAAGAAATAAGATTCTCTCCTCTCTTACTCTCTACATTGTTGTCTATTTTATTGTTCTATATTGTTACTTTGAGCTAAGTTTCGTAACAAGTATATATAAATCAAACAATTCATTTATAAGATATCTCTTTTTCTTATTGTTCCTCTCTCTTCCTTTTATATATTGTCTATTTTATTGTTCTATCTGGTGAGAGAGAATATTTGTGAGCCTAATGAATTCATGTATTCAATTGTCATGAATGGGCTTAGCAAAAGGGGTCATACTAAAAAAACTTTCGATTTGCTTAGGGTATTGGAACAAGGAAGCACTAAGCCCGATGCATACATCTATAGCATTGTTATAGATGCCCTATGCAAAGATAGGATCTTAGATGCTGCTATTAGCCTTTTTGAAGAGATGAAACAAAAAGGCATTCCTCCCAACGTTGTCACATATAGTTCATTGATTGATGGTTTATGTAAGTTTGGCCAGTGGGAAAAGATTAGGACTTTTTTCATAGAAATGGTAAATCTTAATATTTATCCAAATGTGTGCACCTTTATATACTGACAGATGGACTATGTAAAGAGGGAAAAGTTGAAGACGCTGAGGAGGTAATGAGACATATGATTGGAAAAGGTGTAGAGCCAGATGTGGTCAGCTACAATGTGATAATCGATGGATATTGCTTACGTGGCCAAATGGATAGAGCAAGGAGACTTTTCGATACAATGATAGGTAAGAGCATTAAGCCTGACATTGTTAGCTATAACACTTTAATAAATGGATTCTGTAAGAACAATAAATTGGATGATGCCATGGATTTGTTTCATGAAATTTCTCGAAACGGATTGGAACCTAGCATTGTTACCTACAATATTATCTTGCAAAGTCTACTTGAAGTTGGAAGGATTGAATTTGCGCAAAAATTCTTTGCTGAGATGCTATCTATAGCGCTCAAACCTGATTTATGTACTAATCGCATTTTGCTCGGTGGTTATTTCCAGAATGGGCTACTTGAGAAAGCTATGTCGCTATTCCATGAGTTGGAAGTAAAGAGAGAAGATACTGATATTGAACTTTATAATATTCTAATTGATGGATTGTGCAAACATGGCCGGTTCGACAAAGCTCATGTTATTTTTTAGAAGCTTTCTCTAATTGGATTATTTCCTAATGTGATAACATACAATATAATTATAAAGGGATTTTGTCTAGAAGGATTCTTAGATGAAGCTAAAAATATGCTAAGAATAATGGAGGAGAATGGTTGTTCGCCAAACAATTTCACCTACAATGTTATTCTGCGAGGATTCCTCAAGTTTAGCAAAATAAGTGAAATGACAACTTTTTTGAAGGAAATGACCGAAAGGGACTTCTCATTTGATGCAAGTACTGTAGAGTTACTAATAGATGTTATAGCAAAGGATCCTTCTTTGCTTAACATGATACCACAGTTTCACTCGGGAAGTAAGAAATGAATAGTTATTTCACTTGGCTTATTCAGCTGTACTTGCGAAAGAAATCAGATCAATGGAATTGTGGAAGCTGAAAGAATGGCAATTAGAACACCGCGAGCTTTCCAAGCAAGCTTATTGAGGTGGTACATCAGTTCTAATATTTAATTGTTATGCCACTCTACTTTAACTTGGAAATCATGTTTTATTGCACTCTTAATATGAGAAATGATGCGTGTTTCCTTATGTATATACACATTATAAGTCCAGGAATTATATTTTCAGATGAGAAGCTTCTTCTTGTGTTCCATGAGGGAGTGAAGCATGGTGCTGGGAATAATTCTTCTCCAGGAAATAATACTTTTCACTGATTTTAAAGCTAGGAAAACTTCGACTAGAGTACAAGGCTAGCAAGTTCGTTTTATTATATCTACTAGTGCAGTTATTTCTTTTAATGTTGTTATGGTTTATGTGTATATCTTTATTTTTATATCTCTGACTGTTGAAGGATCTGGGAGGAATGATATGTCAAGTATATCACAGAGGAAATCAGCAGCAAAGTAGTCAAAACTCCAGGAAGGGCTAGACACCTACGTTGACTGATGTTTTATCGCTTTATAGATTTTAGACTTGCTATCAAATTGCTCTGGCTATTAAGGATGAGGTTGAAGTTCTTGAAAAGGCTAGCTTTAACGTTGACTGATGAAGCTGCTTTAAGAGAGGATTTGCTCTTAGGAAAACGGAGGAGGCTTTGTACTTGAATTGGGCTTTACATTCATTCAGGATAACCAACTGTCTGTGTTCAAGACACTACCCAGGTTGATATTTACTTTAGTCAAATGATAATTATCTGTCAAATGTTATGTTTCCCCACATTTCTGAAAGATAAACATGATGTCCAACAGTATTGTAAGGAGGGGACTGAAAGATTCATAAGCCACTTTACATATGTGAAATTGGTTCTTTCTTTCCAATAGTTGTCCAGTAAATCTAAGTGCTGCATAGAACCGGGAGGTGTTTTGTTTTTATTTGGGGAAGTTTTTTTAAGGTAGTATTTGTCTTCTTTGTCCCAGGGATTTGGTTCAGTAGTAAGACCGCAACACGTGATACTTTGGTAGTTAAGTGAAGATAGGTAGAGGGGTGGGTCATTATCCACCAGGTTTCGAACCATGGGCCACGTTGCCCTTGCAGATTTCCGGTTACGAAAAAGTAGTATTTCTGATCTTTGACATGGTTCTAATCATTTTGCCATTTATTGTGACAGATTGCTCTGGGTAGGGAGGGGGAGGGGGGGTTGCAAACCGGCGGGTCGCATTTCGAAAACGAGTTAAGTAAAAATGGATAAAATATCCGACCCACCCAAATACAGATAAAAATGGCTTAACCGACGGTTAATATGCTTAACCATATCATCTATTGTTTCTTACCCAGGTCTTGTTTCTATAGTTCTCTTAACTCCATTTCACTTCGTAGATATACGAATATCATCTTTGTATTATAGATATTATACCTTGTTTTTTTTTTTTTTTTACTTGGAATTGATTTAAAATTTAAATTCCTATTTTGATTGCAGATTCAGCTTATGTTTTCCACGACATGTTGAGATTAATATTCTAGAAACATAACAATGAGAGAAAATTTTGCAAAAATTTCAAGAACCTCAGGAAAATTCTAAAATTATTGATTGAGTTATGACTTAAAAGCTCAAAACCAAGTTTTTGTTTGCACTTTATTTGACTAAATAGTTTCCATATCATTAGAATATTCAAGGAATCCTCTTTGTTTAACTTATGCAATACCCTGCATGAACTGTGGTAATTATATGTATGAGTGAGATTAGCTAATTACTGATATGTAGGTAGGGTAGGTGGGATTTGGGGTGAGGCTGGGGTGGACGTAGCATTGGATAGTTTTAGAAAATGATTGGAGGGGCTGGTGATGATCCATTCTTGACCCGTGGTTATCCATTTTCTAAAGCGGATAATGTGGATATGATCCATACTTACAAATTTTATCCATTTCTAGCTCTGGCTAACAATGAAGTTGAACTTGGTTGTACATTCATTCTGGATAACCAACTTCGGTGTTCAAGACACTACCCGGGTCGATATAACGATTATAATGTTCTGTCAAAGTCTTGTTCTGTCAAAAAAGAAAATATCTCTATCGAAGTATATTGTGCTTAACTACTTCTTCAGAAGTTTCTTCCTACATCAGAATTTCTATCTTAGGTAGTCTATGTATGTTCCTACTAAACTAGCCTCTGAAATTCATGCACCCTTTCCCCAAAGGACAGGACGAGAAAAGGAAAAGGATAAGAACATGAATTAGACAAGTTTAAGGAACATAATATTTCTGAAAGATTAACATGATGTCTAACAGTAGAGGACCCAAAGATTATAAGCACCTTCATGTATGTGAAATTTGTTCTTTCTTTCCAGTAGTTGTCCAGTAATTCTAAGAGCTGGATAGAATCGGGAGATGTTTTGTGTTTTTGGGGAAGTTCTTCGTTTAAGCCTTTAAGGTAGTAGTATTTTTCTTCTTTGTCCACTAGGCTTTGGTTTAGTAGTAAGAGCGCGATGCATGATGTTAGTCACAACAAAACTTTGGTATTTAAGTGAAGAAATTTAGAGGGGCAGGTCATTTTCCACCGAGTTTCAAACCGTGCATTAGCTGACCCTCGGGGATTTCTCGATTAAAAAAAAAAGTAGGTTTTCTTCTTTTATGTGTTTCTAATAACTACTCTCCGTTTCTATTTAAGGAACTTTTCTCTGAAAAACAAAAGTGCTGTTGTGGAAGTTAAATGGCTATTAATATGATATTAACAGTTTAATTCTTTGTTTATTCCCCTAGTTATTCCTTTGTTCTGTTTATTTGTGATTGCTGTCTCCTTCAGGATTAGGTGAACAAAGCATGACTTTGGTGCTGGACATCCGTCTTGTTCCTACTGTTGTTCTAGTCTAATTTTACACACACATGCATGCGCGCACACACACACTCTCTCTCGTGTAGACATACACATTGGATGTACCACATAAAAAATCTTTTACATGCTATTATAGAGCAGATTGTTAATTAGCTACTCAACCGCGAGATTGCTTTTATATTCTTACCGATCTATGTCTTGTCTCTCCCTCCTTTCTTTCTATTGGCGAATGCAAGACGATGCTCTGGCTTTTCTTTGAGCTCTAGCGGTTATTCCTCTTAAATACAAGACATGTCTTGGATGTCTTGGAGTTGACAAAATTCTTGTTCTTTAAGTTGCATTTTATTATGGTCTAACAGAATGACAATTACTTAAATAACTTCATATCTTAACTGCTGCTTGATGCTTACAGGCCCTAGATGCAGATACCTTTATCTGCTGATTTGAATGAGCAGACCATGAGATGCAGACCATGAGATGCAGACCATTTCACCTCATCAGCACTTATGATTTATTCAAACTATATTTGTATGATTCATTACAAATTGATTGATTACAGTTTAGAAATTGAATGGTTATTCTGTTGACTATCATAGATGGGATGACATGCAAATATCCCTACCTACTTTGAGCTACCGAAAGATTAGTCTCATTTCTTCAGCTCCGTTGGTAGATTGCATCACATTGGCAACATGGAAGCCGATACCAAGAACCAACAGTGCAGGAAGAGTCATTTTCATCATTTTCTTTGGCATCTTCAGGTTTGCAGCCAACGACTAGCATTTCCGATTGTTTCATCATCAGTTGATTCGCTTTCAGATTCACTGTAAGAACTACTTGAACTACTGTTATCTGCTGGAGATTTTTCTTGAAGACTATTAGCTTCTGTTCTATGACTATTGTTCTTTTGCTGACAATTTAGCAGGGTATTTTCAGCATTATCCTGCTTAGTAAACACATCTCTTTCGAGAGGTCTTCTGTCTTTTAGCAATCAAGTGTTTTCTCAGCTTCTGTGGCTTCAAACTTTGCTCTGATTTTGCTTTTGTCACAATTTTTCTGCAACACGAAATTCCTTCTGAAACCTCTGCCTTTTGTTCTGCGCGGTCAGCCTTAGTCCGCTGATCTTTAGAATTCCTGTTCTGGTCATTGAACCCTTAGCTGTTCCTTCTTGAAATTTCATTCTTCATCAGTGTCTTATCATTTATGAAATCAATATGTTCCAGAAGATAATCTTTTAAAGTTAGCTATGAAAATTATGAAGAAGATAACAACTTTTGGTTGTGATGTTGATACAAGACTTCTCAGATATCTCAGGTGACATAAGGCATGAAAATAAGTTACTGTGAAATGTGACATTTTCATCCAATTATGAACATTTCAATTGCAGAATGTTAACACTATGTTGTGCACAGTGACGGAGTCACCTTATACGAACCCCTTCGCGGAAAAAATATACTATGTAGGTAGGTAAAAAACTAAATTATATGTATATATACTATGTATTGACTCCCCTTAATTTCCTGGTATGTTTGCTTTTATATATTGTGACACCCCTTAATGAAAAAAAATCTCATCTAGAAAAAGGACAAACGTATTGCATGCATGTTTCGATGGGAAGAGGAGGGAAACAGATAAGCAATGATGACGACGACAAGTCGACAACGGCCTCAATCCCTAGCAAGTTGAAGTCAACTATACGAGTTCTTATACCGTCGCTTCAATATTATATAATATAATAGGATCATTACAAGAACAACACCGAAGA